TACGATAGGTTTACCCAGTTCCGTGCGACGAGCAGGGACAGCCGGTGGAAATGAGCGTGCCCTTGAGGCTTCTCCCGACAGGATGTTGGGGGACCGCGAGTGAAATAGACACCTGCGGCTCGTGCAGGCACATGGCGGAAAGAAGGGGCACGCGCACACACTTGGCATAATTATTATGTAGACCTACCATGTTGTATGCAGAGGGAATAAAATCTCTAGTCTAAGGCATGCATGCGGGAATGATGGCATCTTGCACCAAACAGTTTTACTCACCAATATTCACCAGGCGAATGTTCTCCTTGTGAATGAAGCGGACAGCGATGGCCACGTTCTCCAAACTCTGCGGGTAGTTCTTGGGACGCTTGTTGTAACGTCCGACCTTCTTCTCACTCAGCATCTCCAGGAGCGCAATCAGATTGGTGCCATCGGTCAGGTCGGCGCTTAGGTCGCGCACGAACAGGCTCGCTTTCTTCAGGTGCTCATTGCACCAGCGAGTGAAGGTCTTCTGCTGGATCCGCTTCCATTCGGCGTCCAGCGCCTTCTCATTCTGTTTTCGGACATTCATCACCGAACACCAGAAGCAGAACAGTGTGTATAGACAGAAGAGGCAGTCACGTTAGTCACCTATCTTTCTGGTGGCCAAGTGGAACAGTTATGTCTGCAGTCCAACACTTGCTAGCAAGCGCTGCACAACGAAGCGCTCCCAGTCCCAGACAAGCACAGCTAGTGTGTGCGTGTGACTGACTCAGTGACTGTGACTGTGAGTGAGCGAGCCGGGAGGCCTTCGGTCAAATATTTTTTTTTGGTGGCCCGTTGGATCAGCGCTGCTCAGCTAGCCGACACATGCAGCGCGAGTGCGTCTTTGACTGCACTGGTTCAGCGATGGGGTGCAGCGCTGGTGTTCTCACGTGGTCTTTACTTTAGTCCCCACAAACGTCGTTACGACTCAGGCTGGCTGTATACTACTGATCGGCACGAGACCAGGTTTGTTACTGTACAGACTCAGTGTCCTCTTCAGTCCTCTCAACACCTTGTCAGTTTCAAATGGTCAACACAGTTTTGCCAATGACGCTGGAAAGTGACAGTCCGAACTGTTCTGTGGCCACACTTGGACAACAACAGATTCCAAAATAGTCTGCTGAAGAGTAACGGCACTTTCAAGTGAGCTTCCACTCGTGTGTGTGAAAAGTCATCAGTCTGACGACAGAACTACAGACAGCACCTAAGTCTTTTTTTGATAACTAACTTGAGTGTGACTGAACATTGTGATCAGGACGCACCACCAAGACGGTTCCAACGCCTGTGCAGTGTCGCACGAACAGTACAGATCACTACTAGTACTACTACGAGTAGATCTACGTTTCTCGCACCAACAGGCAGCCAAAGACAAGTAGCATGCTTTGGTCGCCTTGCGTTGCGACCCAGCCCAACATGACGGACGTTACTGGGAATGGCTCAAAGATGTCAGGTATCTCATCTTGTTTGAAACGTATCAGTCACCATCCAGTGCCTCTTGACAGGGACAATAATGAGAGCCGGAATGTAGGGAGGACGGACCCAGGTTAGGCCCAGGATGATTGCTGTCATAATCATACCACTCGGAGCAGTGTGTACGATTCATACTCCATGGACGCTTGTCACAAACTGATAATGCTAAAGGAGTGATAGTCAAAATGGGTTTGTACAATCCAACGACCATGTAATAACGTCGTCGAATTATCACGGTGACGTGGAATACTAGTACAGTCATGATTGTGCTAACTGTTACGTACTTACTCAGTTACTCAGTTACTCAGTTACTAGTACTTTAGCTGGATACAGTGTACTGAGCAAATGAATATAAAAATAATGTGATGTTTGATTCAGAAACACTGTTCCTCTCAACGACTGGAGTATCGGTTGAGTCTATCTGGCACACCAAGACTAGGCAAGAGTACATAACCGTTAACCCATTGTCTTGCCTTATGTAGATCTACTCTTGGTTACTACATTGTACACAATCCTCCTCATTGATACTTGAACTAGTGCTTGTGCCAAAACAAGTTGTGGAGTGTGTGGTCATGGTGGTGGTCTGGCCACATTCATACAAACCAGTTACCTGTACGGCCGTAGATTTGCTACAGACTACCTCAACCTGTACGGCTGTAGTCTGGAGACCGCGTTGTGTAGAAGCTGCATAAGTCATGTACATGCGAGGAGGAAGTACAGCGCGCGCAACATCGTCGAATCTAGCTAAGGAAGGGCCTGTCCAGGGGAACGTTTGACCTCTTGTTCCTTTTCGCCACACCTAAGCCGGGCTAGGGCTAAGCGCAATGTGTAGAAGTGTTACCAGAGCGGCGTGCATACATGATTGTGCATGTGCACAGGTTTACGGCAACGAAAGTCACGGGCCATTTGTCGCAGACGAAAGAAGTCAAGTCAACTAACACCGTTAGTTAGTTGCATTGATGAAACGCTGGCGGCGAGCCCCTCCTGCTACCATTGTACACCCGTTCCAAGGAACTCGAAACACAGGAGTGCAGGGGAGCGGGGAGGGGTTAGGCGACGGTGTTACTGTTAGTCTGTAGCGAAACATCGGTCTGTCTATTCATGTCAGTGCACTAGTAGTACCATGGTGTCAATCACTAGTCCTTTCGCATTCATATTTCGCATTCATATTCCGCACACCCACGTAGTTTGACTGATTGTAACGATCACGGATGGCCAGGCAGTGCAAAAGCAGGGCTTTCTATGGGACGAACAGAGACAATGCCAATGGGGGTACAGAGCAACCTACAAACGAAACATCTAAAGCATTCCATCTTGGCATTGAAATTCCTGCAACTATAGACTGGTGGTGAATTTTTACACATTTTTTAGACTTCTAAAAAGTCACAAGTTTGGCAGAAGAAGTAAATAGTTGCTGTACATGAAAACCGCAATCATCATTAAAATCCAGCGGAATGATACTGCTCAGCTAGAAACACCAGGCCACGTTAGCGTCTTGACTAGTATATTCCAGGATCCTGCTAAATGCGGGTGTGCGGAATACATGTACATCAATCATCATGCACCGGACTCCCTTGAGTGCTGTTGTGCTGTACGTTCCAACACAAACTTGAGTGATCATCCATTCTGTTTCCAGCACATACGAACGAGAAACATTGCTTTATAATCATTGTTAGCTGGCATGGTAAACACTTGGCGACACTCTAAGGCCAGTTAGCAATGGTTAGTAAGGGGCTAGAGTACAGTACACCATGTACACGTGCACGGTAGTCGATAGCTGTTTCCAGACACGCTCCACTTATCAAGACTCAGAGCTATAATGTGATTGATAATGTCATTTACGCAATCTTCATTTAGAGTATCGCCCTCGTAGTAGGGGGATGGAGTACTGGTAGTGCGTCTGCCTGAGAAGCCACTGAATAACATTATTTTTTGTAAATGTTATCCCATCGTTAAGAGAGAATGCGAGCGTCACTGGTGATAGTATTTGAAGAGGGGCTCAACCATCACTGTTTAGTGGCAAATTGAGCCATGCTTTCGCCATCCAGGCTATGGCCTCTAGTCATGACACGCCACTGCCAAGTCAAGTCAGGGAGCGGCATTGCCGTATCCACGGGAACAGTGTATTACGAACTTCGTTTTCAGATTCACTTAGAAGCTAGAGGAAATGTTCATTAGAATTTCTAACAGCATTATGCCAACAACGGGCGCACTATGATTTTAATATTTTAGTTGAATTTTCTACTCAGGTTTGAGCCCACCCTCGGCTGTCTTTCCCAAGTGCAAGTCTATGTCAGAAGCGTGTACTTTAGGCACAAATTTCGATGACAGAACACTGAACAACGACACTAAACGCTAGTCGCACTGCACTGGCCAGTGCCCAATGGGTGGTGGCATCTCACGGAAGTGGTGGAAAAGGCAATTTCCTGTCCGCTTCCTGAGAATATAGATGTACGTGTAGGTGGCACAAGGGCCACTTTCTAGTATCTACATGTACATACAAAGTACGTGTGCTCTGAACTGTCTTGGAAAAGAGCACGTTACCAAGGTGGTCTGTATATCTACGCCCAGTCAACTGATTTGCTCGTTCAATCTCGATTTGTCGATCCTTTCTTCACAACAGTCCCACCAGCTGTAGTGATCCACATGTCCCAGTGGAGCCTGGAGGAGTGGGGTCTCGTTCAGGTTGTTGTGTAAACTTGTAAGACAACTGGCATAGAACTGAACTGCGCTTTTGTAGTTGTGGCTATCAGATCATCACATGCATTGGGAAAACGTTCACGGTATGGTCACACTACTGCCAACATGTACATGTACGGTAGAATCTACACTGTACAGACTACAGTAGCTGTTGTTCTGACTATGGAAGGGACTGACACTGTAAGCAAAATGGCCAATACCATGCCAAATAACACAGCAGTTAGCAACAACACTCCAGTATGTCACTATGCGGCTGCGGAAGAAATTCCGCTCTCAACCAGAGCCTGCAGTCAGGTTGCAGTTCTTCTTGTAGCACTGTTGCCTTTCGATGGTTGCGATTGATCGGATTGAGGAGCCAACGCCAACATCACTGGTACAGTATCCTCACTTGACATCTGCCGTTTGAAGGCATTCTAGACTAGTATTCTACAGTCCATTCGAAACATCAGAGATTTCGGATATGTACTGAGTCTGGACTCAGGTCACTTGGCCGCACTCTCATTAATTTTATTGCCTAGCTACTAAGTTAGACTCAGGGTGAAGTCTGTATGACAACAGCCAGCGTCTTTACCATGTGGTGTAAGGACTTCCATTTGAGGGCCAGAAGGGGCTCATCTCAGAGTCATCTGCCGCCAGTAGGCAGGTGACTGAACTATTACTTCTGAAGCATGAAGGAAGGCAAAGCATGGATCTGATCGATGAAGCGAGATCACACTGCCGTCATGACTCATGATACAATGCATACCACAGACACCTGCATACCACCTACACGTACACGTACAGTGCATTGTACTGTCAGTAGCCATGCTACACAATCTTCTCTGACAAGGCCTTGTCTCCGCATCACCGGACACGCACTGTGTGTGCGTGTACGTGACAAGCTTTGCGCCTTTTCACATTGTCAAAGACTAGGCGGCACAATCCGAGATGAACATAAGGCCATGTGGGACATCTTGATGTCATCAAGCCTTTCAGTAGGCGGAAAACTAGTATTCTTGTCATTCCTTCACGACAGACTGCACTCTACAAGGTTCATATCGAGCGTCAGTAACGATGTTCACCATCAAGGGTTCTGGGTTCGGCCAGTCAGTAACACTAGCAAAGACAAAGCAAAACAACATCTAGCTGTCCGGACATGCAGTGCAGCTACATGACCTGTTCATGTCAGTACAGTACTACAAAAAATGTAGTGTAGAAAGCGAATAGTCCTTGATGACAGCGGGATTTCCAGCAGTCTGCAAAGGTTACTTATTGACATTCACAGCTGTACCTACATTGTACATTGTACATTACATAGAATACTAGTTCTGCACATGTATTTACGATCTACTACCAAAACAGAAGACGTGTTTATACCTCTGTAAAAGTCTGACTGTCATAGTGGCAGGATGCGAAAACGTGGATCCACATCAGGCAGACATGTAAACATCGGACTCCCTGAGCAGTGCTGTTACCAGTCAACCCATCAAGCCACGCCATAACGATACTGTTGTGGCTTGATGGGTTGACTGGCACAGTGCTGCTAATATAATATTTTTTAAACTATACAATGTAGCCTATTGTAGGACTTAGAAGGAGAGGCTCGTTGGTTTCTGCGTCTACCTCCTTGACTTGGTATTATCACGTGTGACAGCTTGACGTCCACGTTCACTTTAGTTACATGTACATTGGATGTGCGTGCGCGCGCGCGTGTGTGTGTGCGTGTGTGTGTGTGTGTGTGTGTGTGTGTGTGTGCACCTAGCCATACCTAACACCCTGCCCATCCGCAGAACAATATCCGAACACAATCCGTAGCCAAAGCACATGACAGCAATTATTTAACCACTTACCATCGTTTCTATGCCTCGCTCCTTCTGGTCAGTCTCGATGGTCGGGTCGCCTTGAAACTTGCTCTTGAAACGCAACGCCATGGCTGCACCTGACGGTTGCCCCTTGCAGGGAGCCCCTAACGTTAGGTGCTCAACAGCAAAACAACTCGCACCTTGAGCAAGCTGACCTTCGACGTTGGATGCGAGTGGGAAATAGCAGCATTGGCCAGCGTGAGGAGATTGTTATACTGGTATGGCACTGGTCTGGCAACTGTTCCCAGCGGATCCTGTTCTTCGGGTTTCTCGCGCACAGCACACGGGCATGGGATGGTGACCCTGGCCTGAAATGCTCACGCGACATTTGGTCAACGCCGTACACGGTGATCTATCGTCTGCATGCACCTCTAGCTCTGTCAAGTGTCAGTGCCGAGGCCACCACTGCACCATACCAACACGGGGGCGAGGATCACACCTTCGCTGGGTTGCTGGAAGTTCCCACTAGTGTCAGGGAGGGGCAGCTTGTTCAGTGTTCTACCTGCACGCCTGTCAATGCCCCGGTACTCCGTTTTGCCCTGTGTACTACCGACCGACTGCAAATCCACTTGGTGGTGATATTTTTTACATACTGACAGTACAGTCACGGTCGGTGAACGAGTGTTACACAACAGCAGTGTGTGTCCGCCCTATGGCCTACCGCGTTCCTAGGCTTAGACATGTATGGTCTACAATAATTTCAATTCTACCGTAATACTCATAGTCATACTGTTAATGTCATCGCTACCAGTGTTCAGTAGTGGTTTTGACAGCACAGTAGGTGAGCTTGCTGCCTGCGGGGTAGGAAGCCAACTTCGGTCTTATAATTATTATTCACGGAGTAAAGAATTTTAAAAAGAGACATGGAAGTACAGAAAGATCGCTCAGCCAACAGTCGACTCAACAGCCCATACTGGCATACAGCACCGTCTCCTGACCTCAGCTTTCATGTCAGAAGGCCCAACCCACGCGATGACATGTGGCGTATTCCAAATTTTACGGCAACAGTGCAATGACAGCTGCGGAGTCGAGTGCTGCATTGGCATCTGATCATGGGAAGCTCCTGAGTCCTATGTAGACTCTACATGACTTTTGTGCATGTGCATGTGCATGTGCATGTGCATGCACAGGACTGCAGACGACGTATTCGAGTGGTAATGATGAATAACGAAACCGAGAATGAAGAATGCCCCCACTGGCTGATTGATTGAGAGCAATCATCAACTGTTGCTGTTGGCATAAGTCGAACGGGGCCCCAGCAAGTCACTAGTTTCGCACTTGGCAGTAAACTGATGAAAACAAACAGTGCCCAGAGCTAGCGCTAGCACCAATCTGAACGATGAGTGGTTTATTGTGCATGGCTGTATCTTACTGCCCGCTCTTCATTCCCAGGTGCCCAGGTACAGTAGTGTAGTAATAATAGTAACATCAAGTATAGTAGTGTAGGAGTGGTTCGGAGGTACATGTACAATGTACATGTACACGACCCTCTATTGTCACTCCTGGGAGGTACATGTACATGTACACGACCCTCCTGGGAGTTAAACACCTGGAATAACTCAGAGGATTAACCTAACGATGGGGACCCGGATCACTAGGGTGGTGATAAACAGATAAAGATACATCTCCGTGGCGGGTGACATTTGAGCCATCCAAGTCACAGCAGCTACTATGCACACGATCCTTGGACCCAGCCACTCCAGGCATCTCATTTGGTGGTGTCGACATTGCCCAGGCATCAACACTGAAGCTGTTGGGTATATTGTTCGACTCAAAGCTTTCATTTCGCCAGCACATCAGCAGCATGGTGGTGAGAGCAAGTCGACGTCTTGGGCTTTTGGGCCGAGCCGCGCGGATACTTGACACCAATGGCCGTCTGAGTGTCTGCCGAGGATTCATTAGCCCTATGCTGGAGTATGCTCCACTGGTCTGGATGTCTGCTGCCCCGTCCCATCTGGCCAGGCTCGACCGCATTCAGCGGAAGGCAATGGCCATCATAAGACAAGATGTGCTCCTCCAGAGTCTGGCTGCACGACGCACTCTCTCTCTCTCTGGGCTGTGCTACATGTACAAGCTTCAGGGCATCGAAAGCCCACAACAGCTGACCAACATTGTCCCACCAGCTGCACCCACTGTGGGCTGTGGTTCGTTCACGAACCCGACACACACATGCGGTGACCCATCCTCACCAGCTCCTCAATACCCTACCACCAGCTGCACCGGAGTACATCAGGCGGTCCTTCCCGTTTGCCCACATCAGTTCAGGCTCGTCGCACCGACTTTGGAGGTGGGGCGGCCATGGAAGTCTGGGGGCCCTCCCCCGGAAAAAAATTCAAAAATTGAAGCAAATTGCAAGCATTTCCGGGCATTTGGTGCCATTTCAGTGTAGCTGTTAACTGGCATTGTGGATAGCGCCTACCCAGTCCAATGTACTTTTTGTCTTTCAACATGATCAATCTTGTAGGTTTGTGTTCACAACCACTGGCACTGGCACTGCACTCACTGGCACAAGCACAACCAATGCTTGCAGCTGGTACCCAAAGGCCGATGAAATTAATATCATATTAAATTTTGGTACTTCAGACATGGACATATTAGGCATCATCGAAACCTGGCTAACTCAGAAAATTCCTAACTCTGTATTACACAAAGGCACACAATGAAAACCTGGGCAAACTAATTCCGTTGTGACTCAGAGTTTCATGGCTGAACCAATCATCAGACAACGATAATGGAATAGGAGGCAGCGCTGGTATACATGTATCTAAGTGGAGAGAGCCTGTATTATTGCCAGTAGTGCGAAGAGACCGCCCATCTCATGTCGCTCTGCGTGGCGGTGGTGTTGCTTTCTTACTCCGACCAGGACTCGCCTACGTCAGACGAGCAGACCTCGAGCCTGCCAACACCAACCTTGAAATCCTATGCATTCAACTTAAACATGGCCACAAAGATGTCTATATTTTCTGCTGTTATCGGCCACCAAGGCAGGATCATTTAACCTTCCTCTCTGGCTTGCGTGAGTCCATCTCTTCCATTACGGACACTACGGCTTCCATTATCATCCTCGGTACAACGAATGGTGTAGGCAGGACCCGAACACTGCTGCTGGAAGATGCCTTGTCGAACTGCTGGATGATACTGGTTTCACACAACTTGTACGCGACCGCCCAACACGTTTCTCCGCCGCAGGTCAGAGCTCTTCTCTCCTGGATCTTGTTCTCTGTAACCAACCATTCCTCATCCACAACCTCACCACACTTCCCCTGTCTCTGATCACTGTCCTGTGGTATTTGATCTCACAATACAGACTCGTTCCCAGCAACCAGTGCACTCTGATTTGCTCGTGAACAACTATGCAGCCACAGACTGGCCCGCACTTAACAACCACCTTTGGAGCCTCTCTCTTCTCGCTGCTGTACAAGAAGCCAGTAGTACAGATGAAGCATGGGTCTCCTGGCGAACACTAGTTGACACAGCCATATCATCTTTTGTTCCGAAGGTTAGAAAACGAACAAATCGTTATGGAAAGCCTTGGTTCACCTCTGTGCACCATCGCCTCCGTCAACGTCGAGATCGACTATTTGCTGCAGCAAAACGCGTCAATACCCCTGAGTGCTGGGCTGCTTATCGCATTTCAAGGAACTGCCTCGTCGCTGCAATCCGTAAAGCTAAACGTCACTTCTACGATCAGATGTCAGAAGGCCTTCATGCAGATCGAGGATCTTATGACTGGTGGAAGAGAGTAAAAAAATGTGCCACATCAATTGTCCTCACACCGCTATACCTGATATACAAGGAGTCGATACCTTAGCGGTTACCGACCCTGAGAAAGCGAACATTTTCTGTAAACAGTTCGCCAAGAATAGTCAAGCTACACCGTCGTCGGATGCAGATTATCGTGATCTCGCCATGCCTTCTCCTTCGGAAACATTTGCCATCCGCCCTCTGTCTATCGTAGAAGTGTTCAAGGCACTGTCGACCCTAACTAAGTGTACGAAAGTCTACAGCTGGCAGTCTTCCTAACAGGATCCTACGAGAGACAGCAGAAGTGCTCGCCCAATCCCTCACTGCTCTCTTTAACCGCTGCACCACTTACCGATCCCAACCCTTTGAGTGGAAAGTTGCAATCGTTACCCCAATTTACAAGGGTAAGGAAAGTCGCAATGACCCTGCTAACTACCGGCCGATATCTCTGCTGAATGGTGTGGCAAAATGCTACGAAGCGTTAATCAGCCGCCAAGTGTACGCGTTTGTAGCGAAACGCAAACTGCTGTCGCCGAAACAGTTCGGGTTTCGCCACCACCGAAGCACGGTTGACCAACTTGTGTATGTCACATCAACTGTCAGCTCTGCATTTGATAACCGGGCCCAATGTGATGCCGTCAGTCTCGATTTCTCGAAGGCATTTGATCGTACCAGCCATCGCCTCCTAGCCTCATGTCTGTCCGGTTGGTGTGCACCTGACTCATTCGCGTGGCTGATGGACTTCCTGGAAGGCCGATCGATATCTGTGCGGGTCGGCACTGGATTATCAACCCATATGTCGCTCACCGCTGGTGTGCCACAAGGCTCCCATCTAGGCCCTCTATTATTCAACCTTTCTATGAACTCCCTTCCCAGCATTCCCCAATCCAGCGACCTGACTCTGTTTGCGGATGATTCCAACATGGTCTGCGTTTCTCCGCCTACTGTCGTACCCGCCGCGCACACTGCCTCCCTGCAACTAGACCTTGATAGATGTGTGAACTGGTCCCATAAAGCTGAAGCAGTTTCCAATGCTAACAAATGTGTCCATGTTCCCTTTTGCAGACCTAAATCAAACTCACCTGATCCCAGGACCGTCACCACGACCGGTACGTTACTGACCCAGCCCTCTTCCCACCGCCATCTGGGCATCATCCTCACTCCTTCACTCAATCTGTCCCCCCATATTCAACACATTACAAGCAAATTTCGAGGTCGGGTTTTTCTTTTAAACCACAGTCATGTCCAACTTCCTTCCTTTTCCTGCTGTGAATCTTTTGTGTAAATGTTATGTTCGTCCCCTCCTTGAATATGCTGTTCCCGTTTGGATGTTTTCCGTTTCAGCCACCATGTCCACAACCCTTGATAAACTGCAGGCTACTGCTGCTAGAGCATACTTAAATAGTAAACTCAAGCGTCGGCCTGACTGGACGACTTCTA